CACGTAGAATATGAGGCAGGACCCAGGTGAGGGGCTACCTAAGGAGGTCATATGACCTGCCTCTCTCAAGACAAAAGAACTTCTCCCGGGTCCTCTTCAGCCTGGTTTAATTCATCATGGATAGAACTTCCTGGGAGAAATTTACCCCCAAAGCTCATAACACACCCCCAGAGATTTCCCCTGCTTCTCTTCTTAGTGCAGCTCTCTCTCTGAGGACCTTACAGGATTGTAAGAAGCAGAGAAAAGAGTCAAGCATTTGCATATTCTGCTCCTGGTCACCCACCGTCATAAGTAACATATTTGGCCCTTGCCTTCCAACTAGAGTATAAACCACCAAAAGGCAGGAAATATGTCCTGGCTGCACTCATATCACCTTCTTCTATCCACTAATTGTCTAAATACTTGCTGAATAAAGGTATGTAAGACTTTATGCCTTGATAAATTCTCCCGGAGTCAGTTTTTATTTATCACCTGCCGAGAAGACCCATCCCAGAGTTATGCAATTCAGAAATCTGAAAATTCAATGTAGTCCATGTTTACAATGTTTACTCATGGCCTGTGAGAACTATGTCACAGCATCTATTACACCCAAAGTTTTGTATGTAGTTTGTGGATATGCCAAGATTCCAACATAAGAAGAAAAATTAAAACTGGGATTTTTTTTTTTAGTTATAAAAACAGCGATAAGAAATCCAAACCATGTATAAATAATGGATGAGGAGACAAAACTTTTCTTGCATGAACTCTATCGGAGACAAAAATAAAATACTCACATAAATTCTGTGTTATCTTACAATTTTTACTTAATTAGGATCATTTAATTTCTATACATGTTATGAGTTACTACTAATTGATTTGATTACTCCCCAGGAAAATACGATTGCAATAAAAGCCAGTTTGTCCTATTAACCCATTAACCCCTAGCTTCTGTTGAATGTTTGGAATATACAGAACACGTTAAAAGAAAAAGTTAAGAACAAAGACTCCATATTCCTGGATGTTGGATTTACTTGTAGCTCCATGTGCTGAGGCAAATCTGCTCCGTGTCATGGAAAACTACTTCTCTATGCACTTGCGCTGCGTTAATTGATCTTTTAATTGGTTCAGTCAACACTCTAGTCTCTGCACACAACACGTCCTAATTGCTACAGCAGCTGTAGCAATGCTCGGAGCCGAGGGAAGAGCGGAGCATCCAATCAAAGGCTGCTTCTAACAGTCTCTGGCGAGAAGCGGATTGGTCCACACCAGCATGCAGAGAAGCTTGCCTAAATGAAAACAAACACTATCTTTTCCCATCATAGCGAGTATTTATATAGAAATGCATTATAGTAGTCATTTGACCATGTATATGGACATCAAATCATCGCGTTGCATACCTTATATGTATATATACCGTTTTTATTAATAAATAAATAAGTACCTCAAAGAGGGGGGGTGAAGGGGAAAATGGTACAACTGAGTGGGGTATCCAGACGTGGAAAGTGTTAGAAACACTCTCTGTGCCACAAAAGGGCTCATCTCAGTCCTGCCTTTATCCATCCCCTTCTCCCAAGTATCTGTTTGGCTTTTTATCTTATTTTGTTTTTTGTTCTCAAGACCCATTTCTAAATTTATAATGGATAAGAAGAGGGAAATTACATTTATTTCATAGCAAAGAGAGATAGGAGAAATAGAGACTTTTTAAAATGCTCACATTCAGCAGGTGAAGAAATTGAGATTCGAGGAATGTAAATTCCTAAACAGAGGTCCCACGGTCCCAGAGGTAGCAACAGGCTAAAATACAAGTCTGGTGAATTCCTGCAAAGTGCGAAGGAGCACAGATAGTCTGCTACCTATTGTGTCGGAAGAAGGGAAAATAGGAAAACATATGTATACTAGCTTATTTTTACAAAAAGAAACACAGGAAGGAGAAACCAGGAAACCATAAAATTGGGTTACTTACAAAGGGAGGAAGGTGGGAGCAAGGAGGCATACAAGAGGCAGTGATCTGTTATGGGTACATCTCCTGGTTTATTTTATTTCTGAAGGCCTGTTGATGGTCTGCATACTCAAAAAATAAAACAGAATCAGTCCCAATGGAGAGGGAAACAAAAACTAAAATCAAAAGCAAACTGAAAAAAAAAATGAAGATAATTTTAAATGAATACCACACCATGATGAAGAGGGAAATAGAAGAAAGTGAGAAATTGGTAATGAAAACAAGAAGGGAATAAAAGGAAGGAGGAAGGAAGTCCAAATAATATGGAAGCACAGAGTCTGGTTATAGAACCTCAGTTCTGGCTAAGGTGGAGGATTGCAGCAGAATCGCAAACAAATCCCTACCGCTTTTTAAGAGGTTAGTTTCTTGGGGTGTCATTCTGAAATTCTGGAAGTATTTCAGATGAATTAAAGGATTGAGCAAATGTGTCAATGTGCAGCTGCCGATGGGAGCCCGGGTTTTCATGGTGGAAAAAGAAATATACAAATATGTAATGGAAGAAGGCAAGACACAACTCTGTGGTGATAGATGAGCATCAGGGGTAATGGCGTGAACTGATTATTTCTAAAGTTTGTGTGCCATGTAGGTATATTTGCATGTCTGTCTGCTTGCATGTTCATGTACATGCATGTATTTCCTGTCTCGGTCCACTGAAAAGACCAGAAACAAACACTTCAGTAGCAACCAGCACCATGGTGCTCTGATCTTGACATCTAATACCATGCTCTGGATTCATCTCCTAGAAAGAACCAAGCATTGTCAGAGAAACATCTAATTCCAAGGCTGGGGTAGGAAAGGGTCAAGATGACCTAGAAAGTTAAGAAAGTGCTCAAAACATAACGGTGACGTGTCGCAAGGACACAATCACCTGCAGGGGGTTCCCACTGGCCAAATCTGGGACAATTTGAACACCAGAATAATGAGGTTGAGTCGTGAGCTGCTGATAAGTAGAAATTCATGATACATGCTGATGATAAGGAGGTGAATATGTGGGGAAGAAGGGATGGAGCTATTCACAGTAGGATGACTGGTAAATGAAGAGAGGCTATAAGGGACAGAAAATCAGCATTTGGCAATCATCATAGTAAAGACTCAATCAAGCAAAAATCATCCATGGATGCCAAATCTAGGGAGAACTTTTGATGAAGAATGAGATATTTGTGTGGTCTTAAAATGTCATCTCACTGACCGTTAGTTGCAAGGGAGAGAAAATAATTAAATTGTAGAAATATCAAACAACCCCTTAACCAAATGACCCATATTAACATCACCAGTGGGGCTAGATGGCCACTGAGGGTCCTCAGATATGATACCTTGAGAAGGACATAACATCCTGTATGCAAAATTTCAGCATGAAATGCGTGATCTGATCCTAATCACAGGGAAACATCAGAGAAGCCCCAAATGAGAAACATTCTATCACAGGAATGGGGGTGTGGGGCAACCACATTCTTCAAAGGGTTAATGTCCTAGAACACACCAAAAAAAGCACTGCAGAAATATTTCAGATTAAACAGGGAGGCTAAAGAGAGGGATCTAAAGGACATTATTGGGCCAACTGAAAAACTGGAACACAGATGGTAGATTAGATAAAACACTTTATCAATGTTAAAATTACTGAAGTTGATAACTGAATGATGATTATGTAAGACAGTATCCCTGTTCTTTGGAAATAGCACCAGTGAAGAATTTAGGAGGAAAGGGCCACAAATGTATGTAACTTACCCTCAAATTGTTCAGAAAAAAAAGCATGCGTATATGTGCACGAATGCGTGCACACGTGTGTGCGTGTGTGTGCATGTATATGTGGGGGGAGAGCAAAGTAATAAAGCAAATGGGACAAAATGGTGTGTAGGAAAGGGTGTCTGTGTGTTCTTTGTATTATTTTTATTTTCACAACTTGTCTTCCGAACTGAAATTATTTTCAAGGAGCTTGCAAGTGATCCTTGTGCAAATTGAGTTCATCTATAAATGGCCACGATAAAATAGCACAGCATGTGTCGCTGAGTACCCTTACGGATAAATACATGTATATTAACACATCATTTCTGATGTTTCAGGACACATTCCAATTCTCCTCCCGCGCTTTGATTTCCAAACCTTGCCTTCTAATGGGCTGTATCAGAATCCCTGGGATGCTTGTAAATAATGCAACTTCCAGGGACCCAGTCCCCAAAATCGGATACAGAAGGTCTGAGATGGGCATGGGAATCTCTACTGAAAAGAGAAATATCCCTGCCTGCCTGTGATTATGAGCAACCTTTTCTTTACATTGTAACCCCTTCTTTGTGTTTGTGAAGTTGCATCTCAGCGGAGTCGATCCCTCACACTCACGTTCTCTGCTTGTTCCTTTATCCGGAAGATGCCCTCACGGGGCGGGGGGGGGGGGGGCTCCTAACACCTCACCTGCAGCCCTGACAACAGGGCAGTTCATACTGGGGCCCAGCACATCTTCCCTGCAGCATCTCTATGCCCATCTCCCCACTCCAATTGTTCTACCGATTGCCCCGTGGGTCCCTTCTATTCCACCTTGGCTCCTAATGATGCCGGGATCCAATCTGAGCTGTAATCCTAACCTCTGAGCTTCACCAAATAAATAAACTAGCCTCACCAGGAGCTCTGTCATCCTTCCAGGCGTCTCTGTGATGCGGTGTGTGCCAGGTCACCTTCCCTGTTTGTCCTTTCTTTTTTATCAAACCATCTTTATGCGTTGAGGAGTGATGCTACCTCGGTTTCATCTTGCCCACATGTTCATCTCCTCACATCTATCTGAAACGTCTGTCAAGTGAGGTAAAGACAGTTTTGCAAAGGGGAATGCCACCTCAGCTTGCAATCCTCCCTCTAACTGTCTCCTGGGCTTGCTTGATAAACAGTGCTGTTCTATAATGCAAAATAACATTTTGCTGTTGAGGTGTTTTTCCTCCCCACCAAATAGCTCTTAGCCATGCTCAAAAAAGAAAAGAAAGAAAGAAAGAAAAGATGTTATTTTCTTTATTTGAAGTGTTCATTAATTGGTTAAATCCTAGGCTTGTGTGATGTCAATATCCATATCTCTACATTTAATCTCGGAAGGAACAAAGGAGCATCTAAGGAAAGCAGCTACTCAAATGGCATCTCTCTGAGTCACATCGTTCTGCACAAGTGTTTCATGCTGCTTGGCCTCCTGGTAACTGAATTTTTGGTCTTGATAGTGAAGAAGATAATAATGCCAGTCAAGGAAAGGTCAACAGGCTGGCCTAAAAGAGGAAAAAAAAAAAAAGGAAATTTCCTGATTCTTGCATACATGTGTTATCTAAATGCTTATTTAAAAAAAAAAAAAAAAAAGACTTTACCTCTTACCTGAGATCTCAGAGTCCCTCTGAATCGGTCAAAACTCGGCATGCCTATGTTTCATGCATGAACACCCAACCACTCCTTCACCCAGGCTCCGGGGGAACTTGGACAAAACTTTCTTTGGAAAGGGCAACGGTGCAAATAGCCGTGGTTCTCCGAGGAAGGCCCCTAAGCCAACAGCATCTTCATCTCCAGGAACTTGTGAGAATTACAGGCCCCACCCCAGACCTACTGATTCAGGAATTCTGGGGGCAGGGTCCAACCATCTGGGCTTTGACAAGCCCTCCAGGGAATTCTGCCACCCCCAAAGCATGACAACCAGAGGCTACCACACCCCACTGTCCACCTGCTAGAAATTGAAAGGTTGGTATTTTCTTCAGACATCCTTTGATCGATGTGAAATCAAACAAGAAAAAAGAGTTTGCATTAATTTTCTCAAGCTTCCTCAGTCACAAAAATGCATGTAATTACCCAACTGAAGTTGGACATTCCATCGTTGTTCCTCCTTTCAAAATAGATTATTATGGAGAATACTTGCTACATTTTTTTTATTGGCTGGAAGCAGTTATAGAATTAGTCACTCACTGCTTGTTAGCTTCCAGACTAGACGTTGTTGAGTCTGTGGGGTTTCTAGAGGAGGACTCGAGGGCATCTCTGAAGGAGGAAGGGAACCCATCTGAAGAGCTGGGCCTCACCCCTCGCCTACCCTCCAACCAGAAGCTCTAGTGTCCAAAACATTACATGCACTAACCCACTTGCTTTTAGAATAATGCCTTTAGTTAAGCACAATGTTTTCCCCTTCTTGAAGATAAGGAAACTGGGGTACAGATAAGCTGGCCTTGCTCAAATAGCTGATTAATGGAGAATCCAGAATTGAAAACTGGATACTTCGAGCCTGGGCTCATGTCGGGCTGTCCACTCACATCTGAAGGAAGGGCTCACTGGCTAAAAATATAGGAAAACAACTACACTAAATGGGTCCAGAAGACTAGAAGCCCAGTCTAAGGCTAAGAAATTGAGGAAAAGTCCCAAGACAATACTCTGTACACATGACACACACACGTGTGCACACGCATGTACGCATTTGCACACATACTTGCAAACACACACACGTACATGAGCACACACACTCTCCCCACTAGGACGGCCATGGCATCAAAAGCCCTCCATTAGAGATTCACGTCTGCTCTTCACTGCCTTGTCTTCCTCTAAAGGGCAAATACCCACCACTCCCCAGCAGATTATAGCACTAATCAGTGTATTTGGTTCCTCTGAAGAAGAGGATCAGATCAACTTAATTGTCCATTCTGTCCAGAACGAGGAGCATAAAGGTGCAGGGTGAACACAGAAGGAGGCTGCTCTGAGGACAAGTTTCATCACCTTAGTGATGAAGCCTGCAGTGCTCAGACTTGTCTCAGGGTATCTGGCACAATCGGGACCTGCTGTCTAAAGGTGATTTGTATGCAAGGCCTGGGAACATTCTGGAAAAGAGCATGTGCTAGTTGAACACAAGACAAGGCTGGCTGGACCCGGGGCCCGAGGCATGAGTCTGAGCAGAGCACACTGCTTTCACTAACACCTGTGACACAATCCGTGGACAGGCTCTCTCACTCCAGTAAGCCTCTAATAACATGTGACATGTAAGAGCCAAGAGGGACAGAGCTTCTCTGTGCTTCCGGAGGCCTCTGGGGTGGAGAGGGCTCCAGAAGGCAGAGTAACTTTGACACCACAAGACCCATTGCTGCTGCAGGGGCACCAGCAAGCCACGTGGTCACGGGCTGAGGGTCCCATGGCACAGATGCCGGTGCCTAAAAGACTTAGCCGTACCCAGGGCAAGTGGCAGGCATGTTCCTGAGAGCACGGAGCAAGCAGCAGGTGACTGGTGTATCTGAGAACATCACCACTCAACTCGGAAATGCCTGGCAGAGCAGGATTAGCAGAGGACTAAGGACCAGAGCACTATGAAATCTCACCTGTGGTAGGGGGCATGGTAATGGCAAAATATGGGGTTTTTTTTCTTTGTCATGGGTTGACTTGTGTTCCCCAAAATGCAAATGTTGAGGTCCTAACCCCTCAGGACCTCAGAGTGTGCCCTTATTTGGAAATAAGGTCACTGCAGATGCAATCAGTTAAGATGGGGTCATACTAGAAGAGGGTGGGCCCTAATCTAATATGACCCGAGGTCCTTATGAAGTGGGAAAATTTAGACACAAACATGCCCACGGGAAGAACACGAGAGACTGAAATGACATGTCTACAAACCAAAGGAATGCCAAAGACTGACAGCAAATCATCAGAACCTAGGGGAGAGGCATGGAACGGACTCGTCCTCACAGCCTCGGAAGGAGTCAATCCCACCAACACCTTGATCTTGGACTTCCAGCCTCCAGACTGTGGGACAATTAGATTGCAGTTACTTTCATTACCCAGTCTGTGGGACTTAATTACAGCAGTGCTAGGAAATCAATCCAACTCCGGAACAGCCTCCTGTGTGCCCCCGGGCTGCTGTGAGTGCCCTCGGTCAACTGGCATCTACAATAACAAGTCCTCTTTGAAAATCAAGGGTCTCTAGACCCTTAACCAGGGCCTGATCATAATACAGTAGCAAGAAGTCAACCGAGCTATTCCTGCCTGGAGGAGGACTGAGTTTTTGGGTTTTTGCCAGAGCAAAAGGGCCCTGCTGTTCCTTTAGGAGGGTGCTATAACCTGGTTTTGAAGAGCTGGTTTGTTTGTTTGTTTGTTTTTCTGTTGAGCTGGGTCTTCCCTCTGGGGGCACATGTTTTATTCTTCACTTACTTGGGGAAAAATCAGAGCTTCTTTGCTAGTCCCTTTTCTACTTTGATTGTAAACTTCTTAGTCACGGCTTTATCCCTCTTTATAAGATCATTATACGGTAGGCACTCAAAAACTGTATTATGGAGGATCTTGATGAGATGCTGAGACTAGCCATGTCTTCAGGCATCGACTCGTCCCTGTGGGAGCTGGGGGAGGGGGGGGTTGCTAACATCTTCCTCTGGAAGGTGCTCCTGTCTCCTTACCCAACTTCCAAAGTCATTCATAAAACTTATACTCAAAGCTCAGTACAGTATTTGTTGAAATGAGACCTTTAATATACCTGGTATCAAATAAAAATAGGAAAACCTTTCATTTAGTCACCGGAAGACTTGCTGGTCTTAGAACATCCATATGAGCTACTTTGTGATGTGTGAGAAAATAGTACAATCCCATCTCTTACAATGTAACTTTCACTAGCATATTTGAGAATGTTTTTCCAATTTCCAAAAATTATGTAACTAAGAATTTACTTGGTGTCTTTTGCATGCCAAGCCGTGCGTAATGGAGAATAAAGAAACTCAATACACGGTTTCCTTTCTAAAGGAACTTTTTTGGTAAGCAGGGCGAGATCTCAGACAAGAAGCAATAATGGCTGAATAAGGTGAGGTGTGGAATTTCTCAAGACTCAGAACTCCAAGGAAGCGTGCGATTCCTGGAGACAGAGAACCCAAAGCGACCTCACAAAACCTGTCTTGTTTTGGCTGGAGATTCAGTTTGGCTCAAACAAGTCCTTTCGACTTTGGGTTTCTAGTTCAGTAAAGGGAAAATGTCATCGATACTCCAAAGTGCACTCATGAGAAATGCCCAAATATATTTTTAAAACATGTGCATTTATTTGGTGGTCAGCAAATATTAGGTCAATGGTGACAAAACTTTTCCTGACCAAGTGGGCCTCTGTTGGCTTTGCCTACCCAGCACCTGACTCCATCTGCTCAGGCTGCCTTACAAGCATTAGGTTGGGGGACTTAGGCAACATTTCTTTCTCACAGTTCTGAAGGCTGTGAAGTCCATCAAGGTGCCAACAGATTCCCTCTTCCTGCTTTGCAGAGGTCTACGTTTTTGCTGTGTCCTCACATGGTGGGGAGAGACATTATCTCCCTTGTGTCTCTTCTTATAAGGTTACTAGCTCATTTATGAGGGCTCCATCCTCATGACCTAATCACCTCCCAAAGGCTCTCCTCCTAATGCCATCACACTGGGGATTAGGGCCTCCACATATGAATTTTAGACGGAGACCAAATTTCAATCCATAGCGGCATTCATTACCCTGTTGCTGTTATAATGCACATAGCTTCCTTTGGAAACCACCTTTTGCCCACTCTCAGACCAAGCGCATTGGCTGAGATTGACCCCACTCCCCTTGGCTCTCGTGTGGGCCCCTGACAGCAACCTGGAGAGTATTCCATGCCTCAGGGATGCCCATAGTGATGGGTTTAAGAACTGGCAGAGTTTTGTCTACATGGAGCCAAGACTTATTTTGGAAAATGCAATACTGTAAGCAGGTATCCACATGCCCTTTTCATCTGCCAGTCAATTTATAATAAAGTATTGAAGAATGAATTAAATATGAATTCTATAATAATTAAAAATGAAATTAATATAGTAATATTCAAAAATATAATATTAATGACTTGGAAGGGTTTAAAAAAGCACTTTAGAAATGCTTTGATTAAGAAACAAAACAAAGGAAAGAAACAAAACAAAGCAGCAAAAGAAAAAAAGAGAGAGAGAGAGACAAGCTAAGAAAAAGACTTTTAACTGTAGAGAACTGATGGTCACCAGAAGGGAGGTGGGCAGATGCTTAACCAACCAAGCCGCCCAGGCGTCCCAATTCAAATAAAATAAAAATAAAAGGGCAAAACTACGTAAAAGCTGCAAGTGTCAGTATGTCAGCAAAAAATTATTTTTTCTCAAAACCCAGGAACCTGTCCATCTCAATTTCTTTTTCCTTGGGCTAGAAGATCTATTTCCTCTCTGTAAAGAAGTACAAGGAATATCAACAATACTTCCATGACTGCTCTATCAGTATGCGACTAGAAAGTACCAGCCATCTTTCTAACCCCCCAGCCTCATTAATATGAAATTTTGTAAGTTAAATAAATCAGATGGGAAAAAATTGCTCTTTTTCCAAAGTTGAATTGCATATTTTAAAATCAGCACTAAAACATCGCCTTGTAAGTGCAAATACTTCTGTTCTATTGAAAGCATTGCTATTTGCTGAAAATGAAGGAAAAGCTATTGTTATGTTCGGTTTAGGGGGAAAAAAAAGAAAAGATTCTGATTCTGATGGCTGCCAACTGAAAATAAATAATCCCGAGTAAGCACACAATTGCAGCTTGAGCACCACCAGACTTCCCCTCTATAAAGCCCTCGGGACTGGGACCATTTTTAAAGGCTCTGGAGTGACCAGAACATTAGCTAATTTCAGAGAGTACAAAAGGAAACACTATCTATGAATTCCAATAAGTATTGTCTCTGAAGATGACTTCTCAGAACTATCGAAGTCTTTATAGAGATTTTAGCTGGGATGATGGTGCTTGTAAGTAATCTTGCCCCAAAGCAGTTCATTTTCAAGAATATACTTACATCACTAATTGTTCTCACTTAAAGAGCTATTTAGTGCTCCCTGGTCCTCCTGCCCCCCTTCTGCCCTCCCCTCCCTCTGTCCATCCTGTCTTCTAATAGGGAGGCTACGTGCAGGCAGGGAACCATAAAGGCAGCCCTGCCCTCCCATCTCCTGAATGGGGATAGGGAACTACAGATGGGGCTCTGGGCCAGAAACTGCTCTTTCTTAGTGAAAAACAAGACTAAGACTTTGTGGTAAATCTCCAGGAGTGGAGGCAGACCATCTTCAAAAAAGATGACCAATAATAATTTCGTACAGATATGAATGGCAATGAGTTACCTAGCTCTAAAGCAGAGCTAAACCACTCTTCTTTAAGGAAAAAAAGAAGTTGTAAAAAGAAAAAGTGAAATCTCTGAACGGACTCTCTAGTAAAAAAAAAAAAGAAAAAAATCAAATCTAAACCAAATGAAATTTTTCTACCGCAAAGAAAGGACAGCCATTGATATTGGAGTTTATATATCCAGTGTAAGATCTTAGAGATCTTTGAGGTTAAAAATTTCCAAAGATGATTGATTTGGACCACCTCAGTTTTGGCAAGAAAGGAAGAATCCTTTCTTTATTGCTTGGGGTATCCGAGTGAATGCACTTGGGAAGTATTCTCTGGCAATAAGATCACTTCAAAGACTGTCTTAGGTAATTCATATTATAGATTTTAAAGCTTTAAGCTCCTCCTTAGCATTTGAAAAAAAATAAATAAATTCAAGGTGTAGACCGAAACCAAGGAGTTTTGAGAATTTTCTTATCCTGAGGGAGGAGGTGCTTCAAGGTGTCTTGCTTAGGATCATGGAAAGGCATCCAACTGGTAAAAATGAGTACTTACTCCTCTACTGCCCCCTTATGTTGCATATCAACAGGTCACTCACCCTCTCTGTGATTCAGAACTAGGCTTTGTGCAAACCACGGCTGTGTTCTGGGTGCAGGGAGATTGGATAGGTTGTAGCAGTGAGCCTCCTCCACAAAGAGACACGTGACTTCACTGTGCTCTGACATGGAGGCTGCTGGCCTGGCTGCACCCACTCACACATGAATTTAGTTGCTATTGACCATATGTTGCCTAGAGATTTTCCCTTTCCATAAGGTTGGTTGAACATCACCAAAAAAATAATAAATTAAAAAAAAAAAAAAAGAATGTTTATTGATTGCTTTCTTTGTGCTCAGTTCTGTGATTCCAAAAACTAGTCCCTATCCCGTGGGTCTTACCAGCCAACAAAGGAAAGGTGACATAAAGCCTTAGGGACGTTCTTACTGGACAGCCAGACTTAGTGTTAACTATGAAGATGGGAAGCATTCATGCCCCGTGATTCAAGGGAGGATACAGTACCAGGGACTGGGGTGGGGAGAAAACGCCATCCTCAGGAGATCATTCCTTTTCTTATTAAAAATTTTTTAAAAATTAAAAATTTCTTATTAAAACTTTTCATTTTGAAATTATCTGTAACTTACAGAAAAAATTACAAAACTCCTTTGTACATTCACCGGATTTCCCAATTATCTACATTTTATCATTTTTGCTTTGTCATTTTCTATCTTATGAATCATTTGAGATACACTGCCAACAAGATGGCCTTTGACTAAACACTTCAGTGTGTCTTTCCTAAGGAGAAGGATATTCTCTTACACAAGCTCAGTACAGTTATCAAAACCAGTAAATGAGCATTGATGCAATACTATTCTCTAGCTCTGGAGATGATTCTTTAACTGCCTCTTTTGCATATTTCATCTTCTCCATGGGCTTCCGTGCGTTCAAAAGAACACAAGAGAAGACCCTCATTCTTAGCCAGGTCTTGGAAGATTCCAAAAAGAGCCAATCCAACCATGGAAACGAGTCTAAATATAGGATCTCTAACGAGATGGCATTCACCTCTCTCAAAGGAAACCCATTTTCAACTCATCCTGTAGTGGACTCCATCTCTTCAAATTCCCTGACAGCAAAAGCTTCAACAGTTCAGCTTTGCCCAAGAAGTTATCTAGCAGTTTCTCCCGCCCCCTTGCCCCTCCCCGCCGGCTTCCTCCCCCTCCCAGTCTGCCCTGTGTCTGACACAGAAGCCCCATCAGACACACAGCCTGTCAACACATCTTTTGCTGCCTGACTCCCTGCACAGTGGTTGTGGGGTCAGGAGCAGACACGGAGCTCCCAGCATGGAGATGATTTAATCCGACTTGCTTGCGTCTAGTGAGGGCACGGAGCCCGTGGCTTGTCGGGCAAGGGATGGGAATGAGGTGTGAGTGCTGGTGAGAGTCATAAGTGCTCTCCTGATTGACAAGCTCCGCCTCTCCTTAATTTGGGTTTTGCCATTCTAAGGCTCAAAATACCTGGCAACCCAAATCTTCAGCTGTTAATCTGGTATTTTCATTTTAAAAGGACTTTTGAGCCTTTAAATGCAGATGTTGAAATCATTTCAACATGCTCTTCCCTCACGGAGTTCAGTGGTATAAAAAAACATCACTTTCAAGCAGGTTTTCATACTTAGTAACAGCCACATTTGGGGACTTGGCTCCCAGGATGGCCTGTTAACCAAATACAATCATGTGATTTTTCTAATGACGCTTCTGGTTCTTCCAGAAATATGAACGGATGGACAGTCTAATGACCAATTCCTGGAACATGTGCTTTTCCAGAACTTTCTCACAACCTAATACATTTTTCTTCCATTAACAAAATGCATAACATTTAGCATTCTCTGGCTTAAAAAAATAGCATAAAGAATCTGCAAAAATGGAAGAAGTAAGTGTTAAAAAAATCTTAATGATAGTTTTACTTCTGTTTAGCTGAAATTGGAACTCAGTTCTAAACACTTTCCTCCAAGTGCGGTCCAAAGATCAGCAGCACCCATATGGGAGTTGTTAAAATGCACAGTCTCGGGCCCCACCCCCGACCTGCTGAAACAGAATTTGGATTTTAACAAGATGCCTGAGTGATTTGTAGCTACATCGATGTTTGAGAAACAGTGTCATTAAACAGATGTGCTGCCCAGGCAAGAATAGTGAGCAGGCTAAAAGAAGTTATTGCAGCGTGATCACATCACAAAAACAGGCTTAATGGAAGAGGGGGGGAGCACAGTAAATTAAAACAGCCCGAGAAGAGGGAGTGGGGGATGGGCAAAATGATTGAAGGGGAGTGGGAGGTACGGGCTTCCAGTTATGGAATGAGTAAGTCATGGGAATAAAAGGCACAGGATAAGGAATACAGTCCGTGATATTATAAATAGTGTTGTATGGTGACAAGTGGTGGGAACCACACTTGGGGTGAGTGAAGCACAATGGACGGAATTTTTGATTCACTATGGTATATACCTGAAACTAAGGTGATGTTGTGTGTCAGCCATACCCAAATTAAAAAAAAAAAAATTTTTTAAATGAGCAAGTGCTCTCCAAAGGACTGAATAATTAGTATCCCACTTCACTTTTCCAGAAAAAGGTTGCCAAATTTAGCAACAGGGCGCTCAGTTAAATTTAAACGGCAGACCAATAATGGATAATTTTTTAGTACGCCTCATGTAACATTTGGACATACACTAAACACTTCTTTGTTGTTTATCAGAAATCCAAATGTAACTGGGCATCCTATATTTTATCTGGTAACGCTTTTGCAGAATCTCTAGATTTAAAAAAAATGCATAATGCTTCCATCTGGCTTATTTGTAAACTGAGCCAAAAATAAAGCTATGCAAGAAAAAAAAAAAAAAAAAAAAAGACCATCAAGTTGGCCCCAAGAGTTCCATCTTTTCCTTACCTGGTATAGCTTATAGTTTGCTTGCTGGTTAGAGAGTGCAGGTTCCATTTCCGGGAACTTTCACAGTTTATGGTTCTGTGGCCTCAAAGTTGTGCAAGAAGATGAACCATCATTTACACTTAACTCCTGCTTATCAGAAACAAGGTCCACACTGAATTGTCTCCAGTTTTTCCTTCTGCCTCCTTATCAGAGCCATCTCTTTACATCAACTGAAAATAAAAAGAAGAAATATCTCAACCCCAAAAAGCCAAGTGTGGCCAGTAGTTATGCCCCTTTGTATCTGCTTCCTGGAAAATAATATTTAAAGAGAGAAATACCCCTTCTGAATGGCAGGTTTTCTAATAGACTCTGATGCACCTCGCTAGTCAAAAAATAACTTTTCCTTTCCCTAGTGATTTGCATGTAGAGGTTTTTTTCTCCTTTTCTTTGTTTTTCTCTTTCCTTCCTTCCTTCCTTTCTTCCTTCCTGTTATTCTTTCTCTTTTTTTAAATTTCTTTCCTTCCATTCTTCTCTTGTGCCTGAAATTCATCTTATTTTTCACAGCATCTGAGACCAGAGCTGATCTATTTTCTTTTACCAGAACTCAGGCAGTTCAGTGCTAAATCGAAACAGTTCTACTTCCTGTGACATGGAGGCTTCACACAGTCAGATGAAAGGATTGTGATGTACTGGGGGGGTTGCTGTCTGCTAAATTTGTAGCCCCACCCATCCCCAGTGTGTTAACTGACCCCTCTTCCCTCTGTTGAAGATGAGGGCAGTGAATCAGGGATATCTCAAGTAGTGCTCCCCATCCCCACCTTTGTCCTTACTCTGGGCTGCTCTATGAGGAAACCAAATGGCTTATAAAATTTATTCAACTTGGGGTGCCTGGGTGGCTCAGTCGGTTAAGCATCCTCCTCTTGGTTTCCGCTCAGGTCATGATCTCAGGGTGGCAATACCGAGCCCCACATGGGGCTCTGCGCTCAGTGGGGAGTCTGCTTGAAGATTCTCTCCCTCTGCCCCTGCCCCCACTCACTCGCCCACTCTCTCTCCCTCTCTCTCAAAATAAATAAATAAATCTTTAAAAAAATAATAATAATAAAATTTATTCAACCTGACATTCTAACAACCTGGCAGTTTTGATTATAATTTTCCCAAGAAAGAAGGTGATTCTTCTGCTTGTTTGTTTTATGTCTTAAATACAAAGCAATTAAGGTCTTCGTATGACTAGGCATTCCATTTCTGAAATGTAATATTTAATTTTAATTTATTCAACACTTAGATAACACTATGATCCAAGCATAGGCAGAGGCTTAACTGTTGACTCATTGAATAGTCTAACAACCCAATCAGGTGGGTGTTATTATTGTCCCATTTTACTCTGGAGGAAACAGGCCCAGAGAGGTGAAGCAGCGTGTCGGGGGTAGGGTACCCAACAAGCGACAGACATGGCCTAGGGAACCCTGGTTCCGTGGTGCTCTGCTCCCTCTACCCACATCCCAGCAGACAAACCTTTCACCCAGCCACTCAAGTGGTTCCAGGATTCTTCCCTTCCTAATCGTTCTGAATTCTCTCAAGTCAGTCTCCACCGTGGAGCACATCATTGCAGCCACTGGTGAGACTTTTTCACACATCTGTCCACAGTGCATACCATTGTGTGAACACATCTGTAAGAAGGCAGACTCTACCCATTACCTATCCTTGCACGATCTAAGATGATAATATCCAAGTAGCTATCTTCCAGTAGTCTAAAGAACTCAATTCTTAATAACATTTACGAGAAAGCAAATTAATAAAGCATAAACAGCACCATGCAGTTCCAAATTGAGCTTTTATCTGCTAAGAACAAAATGAAAACAAACAAAAGCTGTAACACCCAGTGATTTCACTCAAATCGGAAAGACAGATGATAAATGGCCAAAGCCAATGACTGCAGTGCAAGGCACAGAACATTCATAGAAGAGGAAAGAATTCAAGCATGTGTTCAAAGGGCAATAAAATAAAATTGAGAAAAAATGTAAAAGAATATGAAGTCACAAAAAAGTCTTTCTTCTGATGTTTATTTTTATATTAAGTAGCACAATGCTAATGCCATCAACTGACCATGATCTTCAGAACGAAATGATATTTTACTGTAAGAAAAAAAAATCTTGAAAGACCTAAGCTCACCCATGCAGACGGTTCGCATGCAACATTCTGAAATCACTGAAACAAGTGGACAGCTAATTTTCTTCTCTGTTTCTTTTTTTTTTTTTTTAAGATTTTATTTATTTATTTGAGAGAGAGAGAATGAGAGACAGAGAGCTCGAGAGGGAAGAGGGCAGAGGGAGAAGCAGACTCCCTGCCGAGCAGGGAGCCCGATGCGGGACTCGATCCCGGGACTCCAGGATCATGACCTGAGCCGAAGGCAGTCGCTTAACCAACTGAGCCACCCAGGCACCCTTTTCTCTGTTTCGACAACAGAAACAAAGTCTGGCAGAGAATGAAATGGTTACCATACCCATAACCAACATCTACTCATCTTTTTTTTCCCAGCTGCTATTCAGATCAAGTTTAAGAAACCACCTTTTAAATCTCCTAGAAGTCTCTGAAAAATAAAAATAAGCAGAAAAAGGATGCTTATTGAGGACTATGGGTGGGAAAACCCATGTACCCAATTTGTTTCCAAAGCTTTGAGAGAAAGCAAGATGATTATACTAGCAGATTTGCACTGATTCATCTGAAAGGAGCTAGCCGGGCCCCAAGCACAGAGTCGCTGAGCTGGCGGTGACAGCCTGGGGGAGGGGGAGGGGGGTGGGGGATAACATTCTTGGGGCCAGATGTTCTGGGCCACTGTCAGCTCCCATCTTCCTGATGCACTGCACCCTCTTAAAATGATTGAGTAGATTTTTTTTTTTTTTTTTTTTTGCAAAGTGGCAGAGAAGGGGGAAAGGTACATGGAGCAACACAGAAAACCCAGTGCTGTCTTAGTTTGGTCAATTGTGCCATCAAAGGAATTGAGTATTTCAGGAAAAAAAAAAAAAACAGTTTGTTCACAATATTAAGAAGACCCTGTCTATTTCCTGATACCAGGTGAGGGACATGAGGTTGTAAAATATGCCCACGTTAATTTAATCTGTTTTAAGATTTCGTAAGAGTGGTTTTATTTAAACCACAGTCAGCCCTGGAATGCTTCCTTCTCGATGGCCTGGGTGCAGCTCTGAACCATCTGAGGAAAAGTTGGGGAATTAGCACTGGAGCAGAGGAAGGAAAGTCAGACAACCGCCATGACTGCTGCATTCCCAGAAACCAGGGGTGCATCTTAGAACGTCCGCACACGTGACTTGGCGTGACTTCACAGAGAGTTGCAGGAGTTGATGCAATGGGTGAGTGTTCCAGCCCCAAACCTACCGCCTCCCCTTGCTCCCTGTAATTTCCATAATAGAAGACAACAACTTTTCATTTCACAATTACTGATTGCAATCACAAAACTAACACCCGTGAGAAAAGTTTACACTAACATTAACACAATCCCACACTCAGGTGCATTGATCCATTATTTCATTAAGGACTGCAAAGTGGTGGTAGACTAACTCCTTACCATTTCTTTATTTATGAATTGGAATTCTACTAAGAAAGAAGAAATTTACTTCCCCGACTATCTCATTATCCCAAGGTACAACCCTATCCAGAAGTGGAAGTGAAATGTTTGATTCTATTCCCTTATGTGCGGGTTTCCCGAATAATGAGTTGCTTCCCTAGCATCTTACAAAGGGAGCACAACAGTTTTGTAAATATTGTTATGAATGCGTGGATTTTAACAGATCCTGTACGTTTCAATACACTGCAGATACTGTTCTTTTTATATCCATCCTTGGATATGGCTGTTCCATCTTTGGCTGGCAGGAGCCTTTGCATTTTGGCTCCTGTGTGTTTTGAACCTTTTGTCACAGACCAGTGGCCTTTGGTAGCATCCTTGCTTCTAGTGTGACAACATGTTACAGGCTTTTCTTGAACATTCCCTGCCCCGACATGAAATCAGCCAACTTTTCTGAGGCCCCCTGGTTGCTTTTGGTGGGAAATGTAGTTGGAGACTGGGGTAGGGGTGCTAAGGAACTCCTTGCTTCTAAAACGGGTATTGGTTCTAAGCCTTTCCAGTGGACAAAGTCAGAGAATATTTGTAAGAGAAGTACATCAGGAGTTCACACTGATAGTTCCAATTCAAGCTTAGGGTTACAGGTCTTTATTTAATTTCTTTGATTTTTCTATGTGAGTCTCTTTTTCTCTGATGTCAATGACCTTGGTTCTTTACAGCATTAATATAATGTTACATGCTTTATCCTAATTTATGTATAAAAAGTTTCAGAATAACCCGACCAACATATTACAAACAATATAATTACTCAAAGCAATTTCAGATTTCTTTGCTGTTCTTTTTGTCCTTAGGATATGTCCCACTGCAGTTTTACAGCCAAATAAAGGAAGCCAAATAAAATCATACTCAGGCTGATTTATCTAACTTGATTTTGTTTTTTGAATGAAGGAATTGCTTCTTTTACCTGTTGTTTTATAATTTTGTAAAAGTTTTTTTTTGTGTTTCTAAATGTATAAAACAGGGGGCATCTTTTTTTTTATAAAATTTATTTTTTTTTTAAGATTTTATTTATTTGTGAGAGAGACAATGAGAGACAGAGAGCATGAGAGGGAGGAGGGTCAGAGGGAGAAGCAGACTCCCTGCTGAGCAGGGAGCCTGATGTGGGACTCGATCCCGGGACTCCAGAATCATGACCTGAGCCGAAGGCAGTCGCTTAACCAACTGAGCCACCCAGGCGCCCAGGGGGCATCTTTAAAAATCTAGCTTCTAAACCTATTGCTTCCGCTCTGTTTCCTACTTCTCTCATAATTACCCATTTTTATTAACTTTTGCTTTTTGTCCTATTTTTAATGTATGAAATATTAAATAAATACTCCCATTTCTTAGATAAAGGCTATCATTCATACATTCTGATCCTCACCTTGGTTTTTGCACTTAGCAATATATCCCAGAGATTTCCCCATATCAGTGTAAAAGTCTTTTATCTCTTTCAGCAGCTATGTAATAAGTACTCTATTATGTGGATGTAGCATGGTGTATTCAGCCAGACCCCTTGTGATGAACATTTGGGTTATTGCCAGTCTTTGTCCACTGTAATTAATGCCATATGAATAAGCTCTTGTGTTCATTTTTTTCATATTTTGCTAGCTTCTCCTT